ATTGTGATAGACGATGACGATGATTTTAGTTGATATGATAAAATGACATAACTAATTGATAACTCTTTTTCTTTTGCTTACTCGAGTTTTTGATTTCTACTGCAAGTTAGTTTTCAAAAATTTATTTTCAAGTCTGATGTGTTCATTTTATTAATACCAAGTTTTTAATATTAAATCGAAGTTTGTCATTATATTGAATTTTTCAGAAAAGGATACTAAAAAATTATATTATCTAAACTTTTATAGAATAGTTTATTACAAATAATCCAGCTCTACTGAGTCCGATTTATTAACAACCATGATTTCGACGTCAATATACTATTTTAAACGCTCTGATTAGATGAAAATGAATATGTGTTAATTTAAAGAGTAATATATTCTTTCGTCAAAAAAAGATTATCTTATTCTTACATTGATTGCCATGAGCGAAAAAAAATGTACTTTCTCCTTGTGGGTTTTAATCCTAAATTTGAATATATCTTCTGCTTTAATAAAAGAAAATACGCCCAAAATTAAGCTGTTTGGTATTTATCTATATACTCTTAACAATACGATCAAAAGAAAAATGCTAACAATGACTATTTGGTTTAATATCTTTTACGCGTATAAAAGAGATTACATATAGTAGACCAACTAATATCATAAACAATTGTGCAACACGAATATCGAACAACGAAATATCGATAGAAATTAAACGATGACTATAATTTCTCATCGAATTAAACTAATAAAATATTGTTGGCGGTTATTGATCATCTTTCTCACACCACTTGTCCTATTACCTCTCCCACTCATTGTTGAAACAGCTGTAAGCACTAATTTATATTTTACATTGTAATATATAGAAGTATACTTTCGTTTTTCAAATTCTTTGTTTTTAGCAAGCACGATGCGCTTATATTGTACTTATTCTTACTGTTTATTGGGTATCCGAAGCAATGCCATATGCAGTCACATCTATATTGCCACTTTCTTTCTTTCCATTGGCAGGTATTATATCTAGTGATAACGTGGGCCTGAACTATTTTAGAGTGAATAAATATTATTTTTCTTCTCTGTCATAATATCGGTTTATTGTACTGAAATATTCTTAGGAAATAACAACATTATTTGTCGGAAGCATGATGTTAGCTCATGCTATGGAACATGTTCATTTACATCGACGATTGGGATTATTTGTTCTTAGCATTGTTGGTACATCGATCAAATGGTTTGTACTATTCATTTTTATTTCATATTATCAAAATAATTGACTGTTATTTCTTAATAGGAGCATGGCTGGACTGATGGGAGTAACTGCTTTTTTGAGTATGTGGATCAACAATTCGGCAGCAACAAGTATCATGATACCAGCAGCAATTGCCATTATCGACGAACTTCAAAATTATCAACAAGAAAAATCAGTAATTGATAAAATTGTAGCTCGTCGGCAATCGAAAGAGATTGTATCTGATGAATCTACTAGTATGAACATTTCTAATTCTAATAATTTAAATAAATATGCAATATTCTTATTTGAAGTCTCGCTTGACATTACAACATGTGTTGAAGAACAAATAAAACAAATGCCGACAATTCAAGAGAATGTTCCAATTGAATTAAATGAACAAGTAATTCAGTAAGTTGATTTTTGAAATAGTTAAACATAGTTTTATCTATTCTAACTTTTAAATAGCATTATGATCTTCTTTATTTTCTAAAGTATATGTAAACATATATTTTCTAGTGATCAAACTGATCGTTCCTTAAATACTGTATTAAATTCTACGTCGACAAATCATGTAAACTATAAACAACTTAAAACCGGTATAGTTAATTTAATAGAATCAAAATTTCAATAAATGAAATTATCAATTTCTTTTTTTGAAAAGCTTTTCTCATTGCTGTAGCCTACAGTGCAGCCATTGGTGGTTTAGCAACATTAGTCGGAACTGGTCCGAATATTTTTGTTAAAGGATTTACTGATAAGTAAATGCTTGTATAATATGAATCTTTTTGCTAAAAATAATTTTCTTTTATATTCTTTAAACTAGATATTATGGCAAAGGATCTCATGCATTTGACATTTCTTTTACCAATTTTCTTTTATTCGCCTTACCAATCGGTGTAATCATGCTTGTCATCTGTTGGTTATGGTTACAACTTTTGTATAATCGTAAAGAGTAATATTTCTTATATATATATATCAAATATTATCTTAATAAAAAAAAATAATATTCTTTTAGATTATTACCGTGGATAAAAGTGGATCCAAATAGTTTAGAATCTCAAAAATATTTAAAATCTCTTCTCAAAAACCAATATAAAGAATTGGGTAGTCTCAGTTGGCAAGAATATACAATAACCATTTTATTTTTTATTATGGTTATACTTTGGGTAACACGTGATTTTTCAAGCTATCCTGGTTGGGGAATCATTTTTCGAGAAGAGTAAGCTGAAAAATTACAAATTTTATCTTGATGATCATTTAAATCATTGTGTTTAGCTACGTTACGGATGCTACAGTTGCTGTACTTATTGGTACATTACCACTTATTCTACCGAATAAAAATCCATTTAGTAGTAAGATATTATTTAAATAACTATTCTCATTCTCAAAAAGTAAAAGAAAGAAAAAGATGTTCTGAACCCATTTTCCATTAGATTTTGACTTGGAATATGATCAATCGATAGGAAAAATGCTTCCTTTTGTATCTACGTAAGCTACATTTTTTTAGCATGTTCCGTTCAAGAGTCACAAAAGTCTTTCCAGAATTTCCGATTTCAGTAAGTTGACCTTGGAAGATTCAAAAAGCGCTTAAGACAAAGATAATTCATCATGCTGACTCGAACGATGACGTTTCTTTTCTCAGTTTCAAGTAGTTGAAATCGGAGGCACCAAAAAAGCTCATGTAACCGTTGAACGGAATATACTAGAAAGTTGGAAGTTCTCTAGATCAAAAAAAAAGAATTTTTTCTATCGATTGGTCCAGGCCTCGCACGAAGGGTCAAAATTTAGAAGAGTGTGAGCCTCATGAAATGATCTGAAAGCTATACACCTTGGAAATTTTATGAGAAATCGTAAGGATCCTACAAGACTTGTAATATTTAGTTCATTTCTGGTTCATTCTCGAATCATATGTATCAAAGAAACAATTATCACTATTCGAGCTGAATCTAACGTAAAAATGACATGATTTTGTTAGTAAAATATTCCTTAGTTATCACTACAAATACTTGGCATTTTTAAAAACGAGGAAAACCTTTGAACGTCCATGCTTCTTGAGATTTTTCACCATCAGGACCAACGCCAAATAAACGACAACAAAAACAAAAGACACAAACTTTTTTTAATCTACACTCCATTGCTTTTTGAAGACTACATTCAAATTCTTACTTTAAAAATTATTCTAGAACAATGGGAATACCAACCTATCATTCATTGGGATCATTTATCGAAAAAATTTCCATGGGGTGTGTTTATGTTACAAGGTGCCGGTTTGGCTATTGCTGAAGGATTCAAAGTAAATTGAAAATGAATTAAGTCTTGTTTTTTGGTTTCTAAAAGTATCACTATCATTTTAGGAATCGAATCTATCGGAAACAGTTGCAAGTTTTCTTCATTTTATTGTTGGAGCTTCTGATATAACTATTATTTTTGTTGTTATTGTATTGAGTGCAATATTTACTGAATTTACAAGTAATCTTGCATGTGCAACTATCTTATTTCCAATACTCGGTAGCATTGTAAGATATATTCTTATCTATTATTAACTTTTTATTTTTGAGTTTATTCATGAAATCATATCTAAAAAAATTGAAAAGATCTTAAAAGAAGTCAAAAGGAAAATTTTTTAATAATCTTAAAAATATGATCATTACAGTCTTAGATACTTTCTATACTGTGACTTCTCTATCATTTCGATTCTCTATAACGGTATCGTTATTTGATATTATTTTATAGGCAAAAACAACAGGAATTCATGCAGCTCGTCTTATTTTGCCATCATGTATGGCTGTTTCACTCTCATTCATGTTGCCCATTGGTACGTTTTATTTTCCATATAGATTCTAAACAAATTTTTTGTTTGTAGCCACTCCACCTAATGCTATGATATTCTTACGTGGTAATGTTAGAATTATCGACTTGGTTAAAGTCGGACTTGGTATGAAACTATTTGGTATTGTTATAATTCTTATTGCATCAATGGTATTGTTAATACCGATCTTTCGAATAAATTCATTCATATCAGTTCTCAACAGTACATTGTTATTAAACGATAGTTTTCATGAATAAATTCTAGCCAAAAAAAAGAAAACAATTATTATTATTATTTTTTATTTATACTATGCAATTAATTATAAATGTATTTCATTTTTTAAAATGTATCATTTCTTTTAATATATTAACTTTAAAAAAGAACTGATAAAAAGTTTATGTATATGACAAAAATTTAATTCTTTACCTTTGAACATCCAATGGTATGAACATTAGTAGAAACCATGTAATTCACAACTAACTCGATGTTAGTTGTAGAGAACTTTACGAACTATTGATTGCTAAACATATAAAATGAATAAGTTTGAAATGATGAAATGCTTTTACTTGAAGATAAAATGCATCTCGAAGGGTAGATAATGGATGTCAAACTATCGAATGGATCTTACAGTGACTGCCGGAAGGTAAAAGGAAGAATGATATCTATCAACAACCTTTTTTTCGTCAAATTTATCACATAATAAATCAAACAAAATATTTATTGTCAAAAAAATGCATTTTATTAATTGTATTAGTTTGTAGTGACTAATGAAATTTTGTTTGTTTTCATATCTTCATCCTTTTTGTTTTTTTGTATCATATTAGTTAAAAAGAAAAACATGACGCTAATCAACACTATCATTGCAGAAGAGAAAAATAAAATTTTTCAAATCGTTGCACAATTTTCTTTTTTTTCTAATGGTTACTGGATGGATTAAACTATTCCTCATAAAAAGTAATGAATCTGGTCATTCAATCCAAATGATTAGCTTATAGATAAGACCTATACTCTATTCAGATGTAAATGAAGAGCAATATGTTATACACAGTCGCACTCTCTTCGAATAATGTCTTCAAAATATGAACAAAATGTTATTGAAAACGATATGGATCAATAGATAATCATATTCTATCGTGACTGTGAATACACAAAGATTATTCTAAAAGAAATTGAATTCTACTAAGAAATTAATGTTTTATTGAACTTTTCAAAGATGAAAAATATCGTACATCAATTCTATTATAAAAGCCATTCAATAATTTGTATTTGAAAATATAAATTGTTGATAGACATTATCTTGTTTTTGTTTTCAATTTTACATATATGATAATGCTTACAAATATATATTCTATATTCACCATTTGTCAATAGAAACAAATAAGAAACAATCCATGAAGTACTTTGAAGATTCTAGAAGTCACCATATATTGTGTATTTGACTAAGTACAGATCGATCTGTTAACTGCATATTATCGTTCTACGTATACAATATCAAATAATATATTTTTTTGTTGTTTGTATTATACATATCATTGAGTATAAAGATAGATCGAAAATAGCAATACCATACATTTTCTTTTTCTTTTTCTTTCTTCTACAAAATAGTTTTTTTTCTGACTTATCCAAGTTATAATGGATATAGGGACGGTAATTGTATCCTCATGGAATGAAAGAAAAGAAAAACCATCGCTTTCTTCGTCGTTGTTATTATTATACGCAATACAAGAAGTATAGTAAGGCATAGGAAAGGACTTACATCACGCGCAATTATCTAAATATGTTAGGGACATCAAGAAAAGTTCGACGCTTAGAAAAAGAAGCAATTTTACGTGCAAAAGTAAGTTGTTTATTATATTTATATTTTATTTTTAATTTTTACAAAAGGATTCTGAATATACACGTGGAGTATCCGATCGTTTATTATCGAGTTTAAATCTAAATTCTGACGATGATGATAAGGAACGGAATCGACGACAAATATCAACGCGACCAATACGTCAAATTCAAAAAGAACTTGATTATCCAATCGAAACGATGGATCAAATAAATGAACGAATACAACAAGAAGTTAAAAAAAGACAAGCAGCAGCAGCAGCTGCAGTAACAACAACAACATCATCAACATCAACAGCAAAATCAACAAGTTAGCGTTCTTTTTCTTTTCTCTTAAACTTGAATAAGAAAAGATGTTTGATATTATATTTATAGGCCGAAATTATCAAACAAGATCATCCGTAGATGATCGAACAAATCGCGATAATACAATTACAGGAAAATATACAAGCAACAGACAGACGAATGCTGGCAAATCATATTAAAGCGTTTAATGACGTCAAACAAAGAACTTGCATGAATCAAAGTCTTTTAGTTTTTCAACATATCTCGATTTTTTTCCTTATTGCTCTTACAGAAGTCTTCTCGTTGACCTTATAAAAAATACAAAAAAAAACCATCAATAAGTCCTTATCAGAGAATAAAATGAATTTATTAGGAAATGTTCAAATTAAATCGATAGAGATAGAACAATTGTATTTATTCTCTTTTTTCTGAAAGTTCTAAACTCTTCTTTCTGTTCAGCAACCACTATCGACAATCCAAATATAAATTGCACTCTCGTTTTCATCAAATATAGAACTAAATGATTAAGATGATTCACGTATTTGATATGCTATAATTCTTCTACTGTTCAAATCAAGAACACATCACGCTATATTATGTGAAGATGAATGGTATTGAAGCTCAAATAAGAAAGTTCATTTATCATTTCTGAATATTTTAAGAAATGACGAATTCATTTCATATTTAGAGAAACGTTTAACAATAAGGACCGATTATCCAACAAGCAAACGTTACTGTATAAAAGAATCTTGTTTGGTATATCTTTGTTTTGCCGTTATCCGATACTAAATTTGTTCAAATGGTTGCTATCAATTGTTTTGCATGTGATTCACTTTCAAAATGTTCATAAAACTTCCAGCTGATTCCAGTATTTTCAACTGATATTCAAATCAAGAATTGGCAGGTTGCTAAAATGAATAAATACTCTTAGTATAGATTTGAATTTTAAATCGAATCGATATCTAAAATTCTTGACAATATATCAAGTATGATGTAAAAAAAACTATGAAAAAAATTTTTTTTTGTTCTTTCCAAAATTAAGCGTAAAATGCTAATTTCAGCATAATATTCGAAAGATGATCTGTCCTTATTCAATTAACTGCTGTACCGGACTGTAGAGCCAATCGAGTCTAAAATTTTCGACTTGAAACCGATTGAATTGTACTTTGATATTCTCAATGGAATATTCTGATCGAAGTTGGATGGATGCCCCGAAGATACGATCATTTTTCCTGTTTTTTTTTATTCGATGACTAATGCACCCTACACATTTCTCAGACGACTAGGGTCCGTCGGACAGTGTTCTGTACGTTCTATCCAACAATGTCTTTTGTTTCTTGAAGAAAAATCATTCAAACTATCAAAAAAACAAAAATTAAATAATTCTATACGAAAATTTTCTAGAGATTAGGCATTGAAATATTGGTGAAGAAAGATGTTTTAGTGTAATAAACAAGTATCTTTGAGAAGGATAGTAAATTCTGCATCAGCTGACATTTCGTTTCTATTGAAAAAATGATGAAGACTTGGGAAGAAATCAAAAACTAACATATCAAAGATTTTTTCCAATAGAAAACTAAATCCTACATTGACTGATATCCTTTATTATTTTTTTAAAACATTATTAAGACCCTGAAAAAATCAAATACTTGTTCACTACGGATTTCTGAATATCTGAGGTTAATATTTTTGCAAAGAGCGACAATTAAGGACATAAATATATGTTTCCACAAGAGAATATGTCGAATGATGCACTTTCTTGGAATTATTCATATAGAAACTGATCAATTTGACAGGATACCCTGATTCTTTTTTTTTACATGCAATTTCTAAAATATAACAGAATAATATAAATTTTTTTTTATAAATTGTAGCAGTCGTGTATTGCTGACGATTTGTTATTATTCGAGTTATATACTTTGTACAAAACTAAAAGTTTGTCATTGGTATTTCTTGATGTTTCAAAGAGCAAATAGAAATTATAGTGAATGAACAAGTTTGATTATAGTATGTTTTATCAATAAATTTTAGCAGCACACTCAATTGTTTTATTTTCGGAGAAAATATATAACCTAAATAGTAATAAATCATCAACACTACATGAGCATTATAAATAGCTAAAAAAATCATATTATTTTAATATGCTATAGAAGCTGCAATTACAAAAAGAAGAATCAATTTATCAGACTAGAGTGATCATTCTCATATATAGTGGCCTTCTTTCAAGTACTGATGATGCAATGTAAATGTATTAAATGTTCATATTCATAGCTAGTTTATTGATATCTATGAGCATTTATATTCTTGTCTTCTCAATAACAAATTTTACTTCTTTTTTTTCAATTATTTACCGCACTTCTTAATTGAATTATCTTCGCATTGCTTTTCTTACTTGAGATTATTGTAGTTTGCTTTTTTTTCTTCCAACAATCGGTATGTAGCGAGAAAATATAGACCTCACTACATGCCATGGTACATAAATCATAAATAACTAATCAACTTCAGAGAACAGAGAATATATGAGCAAACAGTCGTTCTATCCTTTCGCCACATATTGATATAAAAACAGTTGGAAGCGGACGTAATAACAAAGCTATTATTTCTGATTTCTTAAGAATCATAGTATCTTTCATGATAGTTACAGACATCTATCTCTCGCTATTCTCGTACTTTTCGTTCTATACCTGTGTACATCTGGTAAAATGTTTTTTCGGTTCTGAAAATCTTTTTCTAAGACTTTCAGCTGTTTCCGTACACACCGTTAACAAATAGTGTAGCGATCAATCAACTGACAGCAGATATCAAATGGATGAAAGACATATCAAGTCAACATTGTGTCGATTGACTACAAGACAAATATGGGGAAGAGAATAAAACCAGTTTTCTTGTATAAGATTTGGTCCAGTTCGAAATACAATATTTACAGACTTCAAATTGAACTTTTTCAAGAATTTTTATTGATAAAATGTCTTTACTGCGTTTTACTATTTAGATAGAAAGAGAAATTTATAAAAATGAGTTTTTGAATTTAAAAAACAATAAATGACTATATACGTGTTAATGTGTATAAAAATACATGAAGAGGCAAGGATTCGATTTACTCTTTCTTTTCATTCTAGTAAAAAGATATGCCACTTTTTTTTCGTATGTTTTTTGTTCTCTAAACTTTATTTGTTATTTATGGTTATTATACTATCCGATACAATAAAGCCTATATTTCCTCGCTATATACTGATAGTCACAAAAAAAGCAAGTTACAATAGTCAGAAATAAGAAAAACAAAAGGAGAAAATTCAATTGAGATGCACTATATAATAACTAATCATGCAGATGAATTTATCAGTTGTAACGACTTTTTCCAAAGTATAGGTCTATGATTGCATGAAATATCATTGTTTGTCAATAATTATACATAGTGGATATAAACCTATGTTAATTGTTCTTTAAAATAGGCAGCAAATATCGAAAGACGTTTATCATGGCACGAATCAGAAATTTTGATATCCATCAATATTCCACCATATCTCGTTTTCGATGACAAAAAAGCGTAGATCGATAGTTACTTTTATTCTTCATCTTTAAACAGAGTACTCTTTTTGGACTCAAACGATAGGATAAAGCAGAAGATGACACAAATATATGATTCAATTAGAACATACATGCTTACCATCAATTGTTATTGGATCAAAATGATTTATTAATCATAGTAAACTTATTATTGAATTTGCGAGCGATAACTTAGGCTTCATCCACACTAGAAAAATTAATGCTGAATTAAGAAACGTAGTTAGTCAAAAAGTTAATTCAGATTTAATGCACTTTTCAGAGACGAATTAAATTTAATGCACCAATCGAGAAAGAATTTGATCCCCTCATTAATTAAAATGATGAATGTGTCTCGATAAAGTCGCTTTATATCATCGATAGATAAATATTTTCAATATGATGAACTATAGAATATAAGTGAATAAGGGCTGGAGCATAAGAATAAGCAATACTACAATATTTAACAAATCTATATTTGAAATAAATAAATTAGAGCAGTAGATACTTTGTTCATAAGTTTCATTAATCAGTCATTAGTTATCAAAGAGAGATAAAAGCGACATTTTATTTCTTGAATACGTGCTAAAATGATGCACTTTGACTACATTGTAGTGGTCATTTCTCAGTTCGGATTGTTGTATTAAATTCATAAGTGTAGACACATGTAGATTCAATTCGAAATTAATATCGAATTATTTTTCTAGTATAGACAACGTCTTATTAAACATCTAAGAGAACATCTTGAGAAACATGTTTCTTGTCCTTTTAGAGTACCAATGGATGAAGCTGGAAATTTGCAATGGAAAATGGGATTCAACTATTGTTTATGATTTAGTCTATGCTGATAGTAATAAAAAAGAAGGGATGCGAAATTATATTATCACATATATTGCGTTTGTCTTCTAACTCTTGGAATTATTCATTATCATCTTCATCAAAAAAATCAAAAATTTGAAATTGGTTTACTTTAGCTGATGGTAAACTTATTTATTAGTTATGCTTATTAGAAGAAAATTGAAAACTTTTTATTCAGTGTCAGTTTATTCGAACTTATATCTATTTCTGTTTTCGATGATAGATTTGTTCAAATCTGCAAGCTCAACTAACCGTCATAAAAAAAACAACATAATGAAACGTTGTTATAGTAACCGAAAAACACGTTCTATAACTCCTTGTCATATTTCTTTTGTATACAATCCACTGAGTGTTACATGGCAGATAATGCTTTCATCTGTATCGATTCAATGTTTGATATCAGAATCCTCATTGTTGTTCTCTCTCTTTTGTCTAGCACAGTGTTATCAAAATTATATAAGAATGGTCACTCTGTGGTTTGTGCTTTATTTACACGCTTTTTTTTGCTGTATACAACAATTTCGAAGCACAATATTTTTAATCTTTCATCTCCTAAGAATATTCATTATGTGGATTAGTTCTATTATTCCGTCCCTGTAGACAAATATTTATGAAGAAATGATTAAACATCTGTCATATAATCAATTCCATAATGAGCTAACTGAAACATCATATCTAACATGAAGAATTATTCTTATGACGATGTTCTCACTAACTTGAGTCTATGGACTTTTTTATTTCAAACTGAATTTTGAAGAAAAACAAAATCATCTTTTTTCGAAAAAGTGAAGATTTAGGA